GCCCCTTAATCTGCTCTGGGCACTAGCGAGTTGTAAGAGGATTTGCGCTCGTATGCGTGTGTGTGCATGTCTGTTTTCCCTCGGTGTGTGCGTGTGTGTGTGCGCGTGTGTGTATGTCAGAGAGAACAGCGCAGGCTGTGACTTATACTGCAGCAGAAACCACTGAGGTGGGGGGGGGGTGGAGCAGACCAAACAAAGACATGGGGGGGAGGTACCTGGTGCTGCTCTGATTGGCTCTGGCCTCTTCACACGCGTGTACACACACACACAGGCTCAGACACACACTCTCATACAAACACGAACAACCTCTGCATTCACCTCCCACTGCCTACACCCGTGAAGGGGAGGATAAGGGGCGAGGGAGAGAATATGTTGCCTCCTCACCCTCACCCCCTGCTCTCCAGCGATGGACTGCTCCCTGTGCTGCAGATTGGTCTGATCGCTCAAAAGAATCTGCCTACATGTGTAGAAAGAAAACAAACAAACAAAAAAAACCTGTGCGTGGCCAAAACACACCGGCAAATCAATATACTCTGCAGGGATGAAGCTTGTTATTCTGAGAGACATGAAAGAGAAAGACAGGGAAAGAAATAACAGAGATGTGGAAGAAGTCCCTGCTGAACCACTGTCTGTCAGTTACACATTAATTCAATTTCAGAATATGAAAACATAAAGCGAAAGATGAAGGGAGAACGGTTAAACCCTCCTGTCATCACTACCAGGATGCTGGGATGTGACTGTAGGAGAGGTGTGTGTTGACGGACTGTTAGGTGGCTATTTGTGACTGGTGATTGACCCTAAAGGTTTGAAGACTGAAGGAAACGGCAATGAGCTTGTGCACAAGGGTTTTTTCCACCTATTTCTGTCTCACGTCCTCACACTGCCAACTGTCTCTCTGTAGACGACGCGAAGGAGAGCTGGTCGATAAACACCTTTAAATATGAAACACCGCAGCACCTCTGATCTATTTTAATTCCCTCCTGTCAGATCTAAACCTTGATCCATTTTCCTTGTATTATTTATTTTAGTCAATTTTATTTATACCCATATCACAAATTTATCTCAGCGTTGTAAAACATTGTCCTTTTCCTGACCTTTATTTCCATCTTTTCGCTCACTTTCTTCTTTTCCTACTTGATTTCCCTCTTCTTACTTTTTTCCACTGCTCTTATCATATTTTATAGCACTGAGCCCCAGAGAAAGACATTCAACTGGTGTAAATACACCGTCTGAATGAATATTTCATAGATGGATTTTGTGTGGTTACAGGCTGAGTTTCTGTGTGCATGTGTGTGTTTCGATGTGTGTGTGCATGTATTAGTGCTTGCATGTGTGCATACTGAGGCATAAGTTGTCCTGCGGTATTTGAACAGTACGCACAGCAACAAGACCACAGGGCACGCAGGAAATGGAAATGTAATTGGATTGTGACAGGATGCAGTTTGTGAACAGAAACCAGCCTGCCCCACAGGAGCCGTTTCATACACTGGTGCATTAACTCACACTCACAGAAAACACCATCATAACACACTGTGCACACATAAACACATACACTCCACCCCATTGGTCACAACTGATGTGCGTAACATGGGTGGGAGGAGCCAAATGTAGACAGGCAGGTTGGTAGGTGCAGTGAAGACACTCCAATGAAAAACATGAAGTAACAACACACCATACTACAGTCATGTGGATACTTGGAAAACTGGAAATGCGTTGTTTGCGGGAATGACGGTTGGGACAGAGGGAGTGAGAATGCAGCTGACTGGGAGGGAGGAGCAGAATTCAGGACAACACTTAAAAATGTCCCCCATTCACAGGAGCCAAGGACACATACTGATGAAAAATCTAGCTATTATTTAAACAAGAAGTCCAACCTAAGTGATCTTCATCTACCAGGGGCAGGTGTACCAGATCTTCATTGACAACAGATTGTGAACAGTCACTGTTTGGTTAGATTTAGGAGCATATAATACTTATAGGTTAAAAAATAAATCATGAAACAGGTACTTCATTGTCATGGCATTCAGAGAGCAACGAGGCTCCATCAGCAATATTAAAGAAATTCCAGGGTCTGCCCCCTCAATCATGTTCGCTGCTTACCCCACCCTTCATCCAAGTTTCAACAAAATGGTAGTTTAAGTAGTTTTTGTGTCATCCTGCTGACAGGGTTAGAACAAACAAGCAATGAAAAGATAACCTCCTTGGTGAAGGTAAAAGGAGTAAAAGGAAGATGACTGATTTCACATGGGAAACAGAGAGTGGTCTCCAGTGTTAACTCCTGTCAATTGTTGGTTCCTCCATCCACCACAGCCTCCTCTTGGGGCTCTACACTCAGCTGGGTACACCTAGCGAAAACTAATGAAATCTAATACAACAATCCTGCAGTACTTCCTTTATAAGGCTTATTGTGGTGAGATTGTTAAGTGTTTAACTGTGTATAATAGTACAGTGTATAGTATAGAAACTATAATGGTGCAGAATAACAGGTGGCCATATTATTTACCACCAATTAATGTGGTCTCAACCCTGTGTCACTCCCTGATACAAACACAGAAAGATTAAACACAAAATTATAGTAACTGCTAGGAATTGTCTTTTTGTTTGAAAACAAATGCTTCACAAAAGACAAGAAAAAAGAAACAACTTCATGCTGAAGGCAGAAAATCAGAAACACATATGCATGGATAAATTACCTTACAAATGCAAAACATCTGTCCTGAACTACAGGCAATATAAACACGTAGTGACACGTAAACCAGAGAACACCAGGAAGCCCATTGGATTCTGTACAAGCCCTTATGGGTCGAATGAACAAAGCCAACACAGAAATACCACTGATCAGATTTGATCTTGATCGCAGCAGATGTGTCCCGAATAACAATTTCTCCATCCAGAAGCTGACAAAGGTCACAAGTGATTGGATGAGTATGAAATCAGCCCTGACCAGATGGTCAGCTGTCTCAGCCACTACAACTGCTGAGCCAGTGCCAAATTATGGGGTACAGCAAGAGACATTACTGGCACAACATACACCCAGAAAGATATGGTCACAGTGTGGAGCGGTGTCACATACAGATGAATTCAAACTTGAGAGACACAGTAGTTTGTTGTGCCATTTTGGGTTTCTGATTTTGAGAAAAACCCTATTGCTGTGTACTTAAATGTACTATGTCACCACTTAATGTAAAACAATATATACAGCCATAAAAAGCAGGAGTACATGCATCTCAGGAACCTGAAAATGAACTCACGTTTTGAATTCAGTGACTTTGACGTTCTCAAAGTTGTTTACACTAAGCATTGTGGCATAGACTTCAATTTGAGGTTCAGTGTCTACAATATGTCCCTAAAATATTTAGCTCGTATGTATATATATATAAATGTACACTTTAATGACAAATGGGTAACAAGTTAATGAGATAAAAAAAAGAACAGGAGCATTCTCCGCAATAAAAATGTCCACAAGTGTGTGGACAACACCAGAGGATGGAACTGTGATAATTAAACACCAGAATCAAAAATTGATCATTCTATTCTCAGTGAGGGCAAGCTACTTCATGTAACACAAAACTATTCTGGTCCAGTCATGACGAAGTTAGTGTTCAAGAGACATGGGCCAGTTTAGTCAGCTCAAGATTGATGAAAACCCTGAGGTGGCAGACACACAGTGTGAGAACACATAGGATTTTCTTCTTCTTCAATAAACACTTAATAATAAGTTATGTATTATATGGTGTTTATAGTTAAAAGAAACCAAACTTGTAATAGATAAAGGTCCCTCATATGAACGTCTGCTATCCCATCCAACCATCCTGACCTCCTCTCTCTGCAGACTTTTGTCTTTCTAAAGCAACTAGAGAGCTTTGACTCTTGAATGTACATGAATGTCATTTTGGCCGTTTGTTCTTTCGAGTATACTCAACCCAACTGAACACAGCTCTAACCCCTACCATTATCGATAATAGTATTCCATCTATCCTATATTGTTTGACTTGTTTAACATGTATGATGTATGTATTCCAGAGTGTATTTAGCAGACTTGTGGTAGCTCTACCAAAACCTTAGTATAAGGTATATATATACTGGTTAAGTATATTTCCTCTCAAATCTAAAAACTCAACAAATAGGCCAACAACCATATCCAGAATTAAAACTATTCAACCACAGATACATTTACATTATTTATAAACAGCCAGAATCACTGAACCATGGTTCAATAAGTGAAGAGAATAGAAATGTCAAAATGGGTGTTTCACTGAAACCTTTTCACATCCTTACACACAATGTGTAGAGCTGTCTATAAGGATGTGGCCTCTGACCTCCACAGATAACCACTTCTAACTATGGGAGAGCAGCTGAATCCCTCTGGGAGCTCCACACTCCTCATTATACCATTCACACTACATGAAGGGGAAGACTGTGGAGCAATGCAGAGAAAAAAGATGGAAGTTGAATAAATGTGTGTGTGTGTGTAGGTGAGGGGAAATGAGACAGATGAACGGGGCAGAACAACTTGTTATGTTGGAGGAGTTTTATGCAACTTGAATTTCTGTAAAGTGCAAATGAAAAGGGAACATTCTGCTGCCTGTGTGTGATGTGTGGTGAGGTGCACTAATTATCCCAGCGGCCTGTGGGCTGGGGGAGTGTTAATGAGCATTAATGAAAACGGACCCAGACTGAGAGAAACCAGAGTACTGTCTTTGATGATATATAGTGTAAACAGAGGTGCTGTGCCTAGTTTAGATGAAAGCCTGGTTCGAGGAAGAAATCTCCCATTTGGGGCTCGAGCCAAATAACAATGGGGCAGGACACTAAGAGTGTGTGATTACTGCAGGTCAGTTTTTTTTCAGATTGCAAGGGTAAATAGGAGAGAACTCTTCAAACAAACTAGCTAAAGTTATTGCTTACTTATGTATAAGAGCAGCGATTGTATCTTAGCTTCTTTAAAGGAATATGATGGAAGTGTTGGGATGAACTAAACCGTGCTTCTACCATCCTACCTGCTCTTGAGGTGGTCTTCCATTTCACCTCGGGGCACCACTTCAGTGCAGTGCTCAGTGAATGGACAAGCCACGGTCAGCTTGTCCAGCAGTTTGTGAACCAGCAGGCTGGGCTTCCTGCAGCTCTGCAGCATGAGCGGCGCGCGGCACACGGGGCAGAAGTCACTCTCCAGCAGGAAGCTGGTAAGACACTCCTGGCAGTAGGTGTGTCCGCAGGGCGTGTCCAGGGGCCGGATGAGCGGCTGCAGGCAAATGTGACAAACAAGGTCATCGTCCACCTCGTCTTTATAGAGGTACTCGTGGTTCTCCTCCAGCTGGTGACTGTGGCCGCATGCCGCACAGAGGTCAGGGGGTGGGGACAACAGCCCATAGTCAGAGGGAGAAAGAGGCAGCGCTGATGCTTCGGCCATTGCGACAGCACCTCCAGGCTGTATACTCGCCTCCTGGATACTCACATGGACTCAGGATGTCTTGGAGGATCCATTGAGGAGGTTATTGGCGGCATCTGTGGGGAAGTAAATAAATATAGTGCAAGACAGTTATGGAAGAAATACTCAGAGTATTTAATTAATTTAAAAACAGCTACCACCATCAAAGAGTTTTGTTCCTTGAAAGTGAAGAAATGTCAAAAGAGAAAATAATGTTATTATACCGTAGTATAACCTGTATGACTTGTAGAGTCTATTCTAAAGTGCATTAAAATCATTCTGGTGGGTTGCGGTGGTAGCACCATCACCTCAGTATAAGATATTATACACTTATATCTTAAATACTATAAAGGTTTCTCTTTGTCACAAGTCTTAACACTTAAATAATAGTTGGCCAATAACCGTCTTCATTATTCTTAATCAAAAAACGTTCAGCCAAACCCACATTTACAGCACACTCACTGGACCATGGTAAAATAAGTGAAGGGAATAGAAATGTTGAAATGGGTGTCTCACTGAAAGCTTCTCACATCCTTGCACACAATGTGTGGAGCTGTCTCTCTGGACGTGGCCTCTGTTGCATCAATGTGTGAGCAGCACTTTACTGTTGTAGCTGCTAGAGCTTCTATACTGTTCATTCAGTCCAGTGGTTTCCAACATCTGGATCAGGCCCCTGGGGGGAAGGGTCTGATGATGATTAATGGGGAAGGAAAGAAGAAGTTCTGATACGTAGTTTTGTAAATGCTCTGTATTTATACAGCTCTTTTCTGGTCTTGTTGATCCATTTAAAATGCTTTACAGTACAGTTTTTACACTCATACAGTGCATCCATGTGCAGCACCTTCTCTATCACACATCATTGCCTCCAGTGTGTGAATGATGGACACTTCAGCATGGGGGGGACAGGGATCAAACCGCTGACCCTCTGGTTAGTGGACAACCGGCTCTACCTCCTGAGACCCAGCCGCCCTGTGTCCTTGTTTTAAGGCTTTTGTTTGATTCTTTATAATATAATGTACAAATTTCCATTTTTGGTCTTTGAAGAAGAGCAAGAAGGGGTTTTGAGGGAAGATACATGACAAGATGCCTGGTTTTGTAAATAGGTCACAGACCACAAAGGTTTAGAATCAATGTTAATTTTGATTACAAGTGAATTAAGTAAAGTAAAGCTGCAGATAAATGTAATGGAGTAAAAAGTGCAATGTGTATCTCTGAAATGCAGCAGAGTAGAAATAGCATCAAATTGAGTAAAATGCAAGTACCTCAAAACTCTACTCCACAACAGTACTTGAGCAAATTTACTTGCTTCATCTCACTGCAGAAAGGGAGACAACATACATGCAGATATAAACAGGGTGTGGAAGTACTGGTATTTGGGGTTTTCTTTTTCCCTTTTAGACACATATGAACAACAGCAGCACCGAATGTGTGCAGCTCTCCAAAATGTCTTTTGTCCCTCAGTTTTTTCCACTTTTTTGATTTTTCTTCTCTGGCACTGAGAGGAGATATCGACCCACTGAGTTTTCTTCTGTGGATGCAGGAACATCAATACCACTCATCTCAGCAGCACGTTTAGAGACAGATATGCACAGACGAGTCCTCACTCAGCATCACGTATGACCAACACACATGGGGATGTGACATGATTTCAAACATGCCAAGTGTTCTTTTTTTTTCTTCCTATAACACAGGTTTCACTTTGTGCTCAGAGCTGTGAGCATGCCAGTGATCACGTCATATCCAAAACAGGATCCTCAAGCACATGGACACGAACAGATGGACTCAGTCAGACACATCACCTTGGCAACAGCCATCTTGTTGGCTCTCTACTGGGCTGACTATTGTGTCCTGGCTGCTTAATGAGACACTAGATCTGATTAAAATTATAAAAAAATACCAACGACAACAAAATACAAATGTAATCTAGCCACTAATTAACTGGACACGTTCCCATTCTCCAAATACAATTATAGCAAACAATAGAGTGTGACGTGTGTCCCAATATGCTAATGCATACAAATACAGCCCGAAATCCACAGAGTAACCACCAAGTTGTCAAAACAAACAGGCTCTCTTCATTTTTGTACACACAGTGTGAGGACAGCGCACAGCGAGATGTGTCAGCGTCAGTAAGAGCTCAGCGTGTTTGGTGAGTCTGGGAGGGGAAGGCTAATAAGAAGAGGCTGAGCAGTCTTAGCGAGGATGAACTTTCCCACTGAGAGCTTGTGGTAACACGGCTGATTCATCGCACACTCTGGCACCTGCTGCATCCCAGGTCTGCTCTGATCTGTGGAGCAGAGCGCTTTCATCACCAAGCAGGAGAAGATGTGTGCAGAGACATTAAGGGAGAGAGAAAGGAAGAGAAAGTATCTGCCTGCAGGAAACGAAAATTTAAAAAAATAAAAATTCAAAGTTTAAGAAAATGACAAATGAAGGTGCTTTGATGTTTTTCTCTCCAGCTCCAGATCTGAGCAGGATAACAGCAGAGCACTCTCCTTTAAGTTTACCTGTTTATTCTGCTGGGAAACTTTGGTGTTGGAATATATCATCAAAACAAAAAGGATCCGAATGTGCTCTTTAGTCTGAGACAAAATGGATGACACATCCAAAACTTTACTTAGAGCCTGACTGGAACCTACATTACTAACCATGATAATTTGTGTTTGGAATGGAAATCGCACATTCTTGCTCACAAATACACTGAGCTGCATGCTGAGACATGCACTGGAACACACACGCATACACACCTCCACACACCAACTGTACAGGCAGGCATATTTGGAAGCCACACCCGTGCCTGAGGAACACCAGCTCCCTCATTCCTGCCACAACAGTCGCTGCCACAACAGTCCTGTTGTATTTTGCTCTATAGACAATTACAGAGAACAGATTGGCTGAACTTTAACTATAAATTGGTGATGTTTTATTAATAACTACACTTGTAAATCCAATAACCAAGCAGGAGCAAGCATGAGAAACATGAGAGGTTCAGTTTTGCTGCAGAATATAGACTCTGTATACATTTCTATTTCAGGTTCGATCAGAAAGCGAAAATAAAAACAAGTGGTTAAATTATAAATACGACTTCAGAATTTAAGTGTTTCCTTTGTCTTTGAACCAAAGTCATGTCATGCCTCGGCTCAGCAGGCTGTCCCTCGTGCTTTTTCAACTATTAGGAGCAATGCAGTTGTTTGTATAGGCCGATACCTTCTTCCCCACACAGCGGATGTTATGCAAACATCAAATCACTCTGGGTTTACTCTCCTATGAACTGCAACGACTTGAGTTAATAGTGATACAAGGCTGTGCCAACTCAGCCCCTTTTAATGACCGAGGGTGAAAAACAACCCAGTGACAGTTAACTGTGTCTGCGTCAGCAGTCTCACTGTCCACACTCAGCTAGCATGTCGCTATGTGCTGTACAAATCCCTACATTCCGCAGAAGAAATCAAATCACATCTGTATCAATCAAACAAACACAAACACACACAGCAAAAGGCCCACTCAATCAGACAGTTTGTGTGTTTGTGTGTGAAACGCATGATGGCTAACATGTCACACAGCCTTCCTTTACTACTTTGTCAATCATTGAAGATTTTATTTCATGTGCTGCAAGATACGTCTCTAAAGTCTGAGTTGACCTGCTCATTGTAGTTTTAGCAGGTGTGGCCTCAAAAGATTATAATATTCAAGATCAGAGACTGCTCTTTGATTCACGTCAAGAACGAAACTCCTTGAGAGACTGACACACAGGGCCAACACTCACACCTACACAACACAAAACAAGTAGCTCATGAACGTCATGAGAAACTATGAGGTCATCATCAGATCATTAAAAAAAGAAATCTGAAAATACTCCCAGCTATAGTCTACTGATGTCAGAACAGCGACGGTGCTCCATGCAGCTTAATACAGACTCTGAACGCAAATTGAATTAACAAAATTCAGCCTGGAGTTATGGGCAAGAAGAGTGTGAGACACACAGAGACTCCAGCATAGTCTGTTGTGTTCAGACATGTCCACAAAATGCAGAAAATTCAAGAAAGACATTTAATTCGTTTTTTCTCTTTAAGGAGTAACCACCTGCAATAAAAAATAATTCAATTAAATTATACACATGATATTCCTTATAAAGACTTAAACTATAAGTGCTAGATAATACACGCCCTATCAGGAAAATTGTCATGGATCATTTAGTCACAGGTCTTCTGATTGCTTATACTTTGTTCTAATTGAGGAATCAAGGTCTCAGGTTTAAGCCACACTCATTAAAAGCTGGACACAGATTATAATAAGATATCCTACAATCATTTGAAATCCAGAGCACCTTGTTCCATCTCCAATGAACATATGGGATGCAGAGCAACAGAGCAACGTAATTCCTGCCCTCTCAATAACCTGCACATAAAGCTTGTGTGTGTGTCTGTGTGTGTTGGTGTGTGTGAGTGTGTATAGGTTTGTGTATACCAGTCCCTCTCTGAGTTCATAGCAATCTCCACGGTGAGTCTGAGCCAGACCTGACACCCCAGTCTGGGATAACAGCTGCAGGTAGATGTGAAGCTCTGTGAAGTGTCTCTAATATTAGAATGGCTGACTGGATCAGTACAGATTGTACTGAACACCAGCACACATGCACAGGTAACAGAAAATCTACACACACAATATAATCATAGTTGTCATCCATCGCAAACTCACATGTAAAGTGACAGTGAAACTCTGCTCATACAAGGAGTCAATGCAAATGATAAAAAGCAGAAGAACCAGTTTTATGACTTCACATGAAATCGTAGTTCAACTATTACAAATTTAAGACAATGAAAAATCACCCTTCTAATAACAAAGCCAACTTGGAGTGGGAAAGTGTACTTACGTGTGCAACGTTCTCTTTCAGCAGTGCAGTTCACCTGAACAGGTAAAACCTGGCAGAGGGTGTAACGTTAAACCATTTAGAGACGAGGTGGAGGGGAAGGAACAGAGAGTTAAATGACTCAGTAAAGAGGACTTTGTCCCAGTCACAGAGCCTGCCGATTGGCTGCTGGCTTTCAAGTAGAGAAATATTATCTGGTGGCCAGTCTCTGGGGAATTCTCCAACCCAAAGAGAGAAAGGCTGCTTCAGTGTGAGTTCAGAGCCAGCTCACCTCTAATAGGCCAAGGTGATCAGGAAGTGGCAGCGCAGAGGGGCGGGGGCCACAGAAAAGGTAAACAAGAGAGCTGCCCAAACCTGCTCTGGGAGTTTAGGAGAAGCTGGAATTTCCTGTGAAATGATGTGGACATAAAGTAGGAAATGAAAGATTGGGACAGTTATATGACGAACAGTTGAGACATTATGATTTTCAAGTGCACCAGTACCACAAGCAAACAAAGGCTTTTTGTTGCTATGAAATATTGAAATGTCTCAGAAAAGGGCACCGACTTCTTGAGATACAAGTTCTGACAGGACCGCTGCTGTGACACAATAAAAATGTAATCACCCACAACACATTTTAAATACCTGATTGATGATTGATTTCCAGCAGACAAATTGTATAAACACAGGCACTGTGCTCAGTTCTTTAAACATAATCTGAGTAAATGACAACATGTCTCAGCCTCAGATAATACTACTATGTACAGCAAATATTTTAAACCTGTGTACAATACAGACCTGTTGCTTGTATAGTGCCCTTTTTGTTGTGTCTTTTCTTCTCTTTGACAATAGCTACCTTTGTAAAGCTCTGCGTGTGACTCTGACTTTGTACAAAAACAGTTGTTATCCTCGTTTTCAGATGTGGTTTTCCTCTTGACTTTTCCTGCCACACACAGCTCTTTAAAGTCCGACACTGAGCCACAGGTGCTGCAGGCACAACTGCAGACACAAAATCACAGCTCTTCATATGAGTCACTCAGAAAGTAGAGGTGAGTCATTACTTCCCAAATAAATGGAGAATAGGCTCAAGCAATTTACAGCCACATGCCTGCATTGCTGGTAATGCAGGATGACACACTTAATCTTAACTTTGAGGTATCATCATCATCGACGTGTTTTGGAAGAATACAGATGGGATAGTCTGGAACATTCGGGAAACAAGCGATGGAAATGATCCTGTATCAGAAATCTGGGATTCAAATGGAAACAGGTAACCTTTTAATTCCCCTCTCATGTTTTCCAGTGATATCATAGTTGACCACTATCTCAAAACCAGGATATGACTACTAGAAGCCATACTGTTCAAAGCAAAATAACTGAATTAGGGACTTTGATCTAATTTCCATGATTAAGGCAAACGACACAAAGTATAACACAAGTTTGTGCTAATAAGTAAACAGGTTCTGGTAATAATTGATGTACATCATGCCAACTGAATGTCAATTTTAAACCCTCTGGAATCCCAGTAGGGGGCTGTGTTGGTGGGCAGGTGAACTCTACCCTGTCACTGTGTTCACTGGCCCTGTCATTGTGCCTGATCATTCTGGTGCTCATGAGAGCAGGTTAATTTGAAAATATCAGCAATTTACTGTATAAGTGTTCAAAGTACGGGCACTTTAAAAAGGTGAGGGAACCTATTGAAATTCATATACATATCGTTTTGTTTTGCCTGTGATCTAAAGCTGTTCCTGACGTGTGAGTGTAGCCTCTTCACTAGATGAGTGATGACTGATTAACAAGAGTTCACTGTGACCTTTACAGCGGTCATATCACAACTTCCTTTTCACGACTCCTCTTCTCTTCTGCACACTATGGCAGGATTTCCCTACGAGTAAGAAATGCCCATGAAACAGACGTAGTTCTTTTGCTAAATTAAACAGTGTCCATTTCTTCAGTGGTTTAAATAGTTTGAGTTTCTTGAACTCTTGAGTTTTCTTTGAAGTGCTGAGTCCAACCTGCATCCTGTTCCATTTCTGCTGAGTCCTCTGCTCCCTGCTGCTGGGGTTTATCTAAACACTGTGGTGCAGGTGAAACCAATCTCCCCTTGGTTCTCTAGGACTCTCTCTCTCACACACACACACACACACACACACACACACACANACACACACACACACACACACACACACACACACACACATACTTCCCTCTATCTCTTCTTGGCTTAGTTGGCTTTACATTCCTCTGACACACTTTCCCCTCAGTCCCTGCAATGATTTGAATTCAGATGGCAGATGAGAATGTGCTGATACAAAGAGGACTACATCTGTGGTTTTTGAAACACCCTTCGTCTGTTTCTTTATCCTAAATTCCTGATGTGCCAGTAGAAGGTCAGATGTCCCTCTTCTTTCTATGCAGATTCTATATTTCTTGGTTCCAATGCAAATCGTCTGCATAGCATGAATATTGAAGAGAGAAAACAGAAGCAGAAGGAAGGTCGTCAAATAGACACAGCCACGGCGGCTCCACTGTCACCACGGAGATGGCCTTCTTCTTTTCCTTCTGATGTGATCATTCAAAACACGGCGTCTGTTTTGGGTGCAGGTGTTGAGTCAATGGACAAATTTGTGTGTGGATGTCAAGAAAGTACATTTGGGGTCGATACAAGAGAAAAGCAAAATACTTTTAGCTTTCACTTATTACGAATAGGAATGACTCAACACACCTTCAACTGCATAAAATAAAATGCTATCTTTTAGTCTTGTTTTTGTTGTTGTTACATTCTGAATGTACAACATTTATCAAGAAATGGCTGCAAGAGTAGCAGGAATGCAAAATAACACGGAAACTCCATTAATCTACGATCAACCCAGGTGTTATCATATTTTTGTCCTTTATCACCAGAGGTTAAAATGGGTTTGAACAATGCTGTGTTCTGACACCTTTGATTAATACATGTATAACTGTGATAGGCAGTTCCATGCATAATAATGTGGAGCAGTAGACCATCAAAAATCCATTACGTGTTTTTCCATCTGTGTCTGTATTTTGATGAGATGATAATAATTCCCTCATCACTTCTTTAGTAGAGTGGAGTAAAAACTTTAACCAACAACATTAATCAGAGCAAGTGTGAGCTTTTCCAAAAAAATTGCATTTACTTGAAACACAAACCATCTCAAATGAAAACCAAAATGTTCCCTGGACATCCTGTAGTTGTAGTCATGTGAACCATGGGGCCACTTCTTAGTGAGACATGGAGGTTGACTTACAGACTGTGTTGATGCGTACTGGTTTGTTTTTGTAGGTGCAGGACTTTGGGTCACTTTCAGTTTTGCTTCTGGGCTTGACAAAGAAGATTCACATAAAAAGACATTGCCTTCAATGTGTAGCTTTAGCCATGCAAGTAGCATTGAACAAGGAATGGCGACATCAGTCAGTTGGCCAGTCCACTGGGCCAAAAAAATATCTCAACAAATACTGGATTTGAATGGATTTGTTACATTTGTACAGAACTACTCATGGTGCCCAGAGGGTGAATCCTAACTCTTATCCCCTGACATTTCCTTTCTGGGATTTGTAGTTAAGAGTGAAAAGTTACAGTAAAAGCATGACGTCAGGACAAGATCAATCCATATTTGTTCAATACTTTGTTTTCAGGTATTATCATTACACTTGTCTACTTTGCTAATTAGATGTTAACCCCACCATGTTAATGAGCATGTTAGCAAGGATGAGACGGTGCGCTTAAATTCAACCTCACAGAGCTGTGAACATGTCACCACTCCCAGGTTAGTGAGAAGCTTATAAGCAACACTGAGTAAACATATAGGTGTCTGTGACTGAAGCAGAAAGGATCATCCACTAACCAGAGGATTGGTGGTTCGATCCCTGGCTTCATATTGAGTGTCTTTAGGCAAGATACTGACACGCATTGACTGACCAAATATGATAGACAGAGACTCTATTACGGCTTGTTGTGCTGTTCTTGGTATTGTTTTGTTTCGGGTTAATTCAAAGGTCAGGACAAGGGTTACAGGATATCAGCTTTTTAGTAAAGCTCCGGCAGGGCCATGTTGCTTGACTCGATCGATATCATTTCTGAGAGTCAGAGGTTCACAAATCTTTATTGTGTAGTGAAGTATTTCATCACCATTCATATGAACAAAATATTACATTGACAAAAACTAGAATCTCCCTTTAATCTCACATGTTAGACCACACTTACAGTGATAACTATACAGGCCAAACATGATTCATTATTAATCAGTTTGTTGTAGTGGAGAATTGTTGTAGCTGTATGAAGATGTGGCTATTTTTGGATTTACTTTGCTGGAGAGGTTTATCTCAGCTGGGTTGCTACAGTCGGAAAACACAAGTAATGGTTTTAGACTTGGCCCCCGTGTCATATTCTGTGTAATTATTCAACAACTTGAATGAAAAACATTCTGCGCTGCGGGCGAATGACGCACATTCATACATGGATGAAAACAGAAACACTGCTCTCTCCTCTCATTCCCACTCTGGCATCTATCTGGTAGTTTGCCCTCAGACCACTTTCTGATTCCACTTTTTGTTCTGTCTGTTGTGCCGCCTCTGCTTTCACTCAATCTCAGAAAAAAATGGTGCAGTCTCTGTTGTGTTCTTTTTCTACTAATGAATACATTTTACTGAGTCAAATGCTTTCCACATCTTACCTTAATCTTCAGGTACCTAATTTAAGGTGGCATCTGAAATACACATTGTCCCTGTCTCATATATTCTTCCCCTTCCACTCACAGCAGTAACAGAATGTGGCGTGCCATCATTCACAGAGCCACAAATAAGAATAAATGCGATACACTTTCACTTAAATACACACAAAAACAGCACAAGACATCATCCATTAGATTCTGTCTTTACACGCCTGGCCCACTGCCACCCAACCATTCCCCATCCTCCTCTATCACACCTCTGTCTGGAGCCATACACTGACACAAGACATCAGAAAGCAGGAGTTCTGGGGCATTTTTATCAAAGTGTTGCAGTCTTTTATTACTGCCGGTCTCATTCGAACAAAACAGTGCAGTGATAAAGTAGGGCAGTCGATTTTAATTTTCCCAGCTCTGACAAAATAATATGTGGAAATAATGAAGTATTCAATAAGCCATTAGTCTGGTGTCAAAAGGGGCTCCACATTTGACACAGGGGAAAGTGCCATGTAAGTGTGTGGTTGCAGAACACGCACTCGTGTGTGTCGCT